ATTTTAATTAATGGTGTATGACAAGGCGATTCTCAAATATGTACTAAACGTGAAGTTCAATATTTGACGGGAGCTAAAAAATCTTGGTCGAGTATTTACGGGTATGACTATGTTGATAGCACCTGTGTTAGTTGTATAGAAGATGCTTCATATATAGTGAGGGGTTTGCCTCGGGTACAGTGGCATGTGTACATGTCGGTTTACATTTGTATTTCTTTTGGAATATAAGGGATACTCGCAAATTTATATTGATAGATGCAGGTAGCTACCTTAGGACCAGAAGAACATTTACAATGGCGTGTCTCTGGCTAAATCGATACGTTTTGTGAAGATTCCGGTCAATAACGCGATATTTACATACAATACCAGGTGCTCCCAAATGCGTACCTGGGGAGTTCTACCTACATTGGGGCGAGAGTACAATTAGGGGAAAATGTAGAGGTTGCCATGCCAACCACGAAGCGCAAGCGAAGGGGGAATAGATATGGCAGAAGACAAACAGCTGATGGGTACGACACTGTGATCAATGATGGCGCTATCATCGGAGCAAGGTAAGCCTGGCTTGTCTGTCAGGTAGGTTTGATCGTGAGTATGCACGCTCTGGCGTGTACGTGTACATTTACGTGTAGGTTGATAGAGGGTGGGGTGTTTACAGTTTGTATTCTGACGTGTGTGCAGCTACATTTACAGTGAGGCAATGCATGGATTGCGTGTATGCGTATAGATGCATCAGTGTATGCCTGTACTTCGTGAGTGCGCTCATGACAGGCTAGGGCGTGTGTCGGGCCATCGCTGCTACACATGGGTTTGTTTTAAAGCTGGTCAACGCTTGTGATCAAGTCGCCGCATGTTCTTTTTTTGAGAGTTATTCAATTGCGCATGAGTTGACATCAGAAAAAAAACTTGCGGGGTATTTCACGGATACATTCTGGTCAGTTCTTTCACTGTAAACGAGATATTGAGCCCGAAAGAAAAAATAAATGCTGAACTTAGCAGATACATACCTTGTCTACAATTATACATTATATTATTCTCGAGAGTTCTTTTATATGATATTTCAGCATCCGTAAGCAGTATTAATGGTATCGCGCTTTTCTGACTACCGCTGAGAGAGTCAGTCTTAGATACGTGTTGTGTGGCGAATTGAGGGGTTGTATCATTTAGTCTATTGCAATATTTCTTTGCCTTTTTAGTATTGTATATTCTGATGTATTGTTATGTCAAAAGTCTTAAGTATGGTAATACTATGTTTATTTGAATGCTCATTAGTTCAAAATTCTATCGTTACTCGCTCTGTAATTGTAAAATTAATACAGAACAAGCATCGCGAGGGGCACACAGGTCGGAAACAACACACTCATGGGCAGCAATAACAGGGTACGAGGGTTACATACTTCAGACGATATATATATATGTATATGTATATGTATTTATATATATATATATATATATATATATATATATATATATATAGTATATAGTATTACGTTATTATATATTATATAGTAT